GATATTTAAAAGGTAACAACAATGAAACCGTTGCCAATTTCATACACAGAAGTTTGAGGAATGACCATTACCAGCCTTTATCATCCATTACAGAAGGTGATCTAAGACAACCAGAGCATAATATATTTTTAAAAAATACCCACGGTATATAAGTGGTGAGCAAAGAAAAATCTAATTTGACTGCATTAAGATAAACGATTACCAAATGGAATGCTTAAAAGAGTTTCCTTTTTAATAAAAGTTACATTTCTCATTTCATCCGGCATTAAGAAAAACTGAAATAAAGAAGAACCTGGAAAAACAATGACTACTTTATAAATACCAGAGACTGGACGTAAACAGACCTAAAAATGAGCGATAGGAAAAAAACCCACTTATGAATATTTGTTCTCTTCTGGACCACGGTTTTTAAAATTTACTTTCATAATTCCAGATGAAGACTAGTCTATCACGGTTTCTGGACTGGTCTCTTTACGTCAGACGCTTTCTAGGTGCGTTGAACTTGTCCAATGCCACTGTCAAGAATACCGTGTTTACAAAAAGGTACAGCACACAGAGCACTACTACAGGACGAGGCGTATAGATTTCACTGCAAAAAGAAGGCGTATCTGAGATTATAGACACACGTTCCTATTTTTCACATCAGTCACTTACACCAAACGATACACTCGAGCTTCTCCCGGTTACACAGGACAGTAAGCCTGTCAGGATTTCCAGGAAAGAGCCGTCAGTACAGCTGTGCTTCCAGGGCCACCACGAAGCTGGCCGGGTACCGGACGCCGACACTTTTGGAAGAATGGCATCACTAGATCACACGGACTCAGTATTTACTAGTACAAGGAGCACTGGAAAAAAAAATGTCATTTACTCATTTACAAAATCCTAACTCAGTCTTGAACTGAAGCTCTGGGATGAGAGCCGCCTCTCAGAAGAACATCTCAGAGCGGTTTTCTGCACGTCATGCTACATCACCGCTCGCTGGTTCTGCGGTAAACTCACACGGCCTTCTAAGGAAAATGAAATAAAATGCAGCCATGTGATAACGGGCCTCTGCTTCTGCTACCAGGTGGGCGGGGGTGGGGGTCACCTCCCTGTGGCTCTGTCCTGGCTCACATGGCTCTTGTTGCTTTCGGCCGAATCTCTTCTCAACACTGAGAACACTGAGAAGGACGCCTATTTACATTTCCTCCTGTCATGCTGAATATGCAAGGAGCCACACACATTTAAAAAAAAAACCAAGACAAAACTATTTTAAAACACCACTGGGTTTCAACGAAGAGAATTATGGACACAACTTAAAACCTGAACTTATTAATAAGAAAAATGGTATGAGGGCAACCTAGGAAGGCTTTCTTGTAATTACTGAGTGAAAACTATTGGGTAGCTTTTTTCTATTTTGCTTTTATGACAATAGTCATCACACTAGTAGGGGAGACATTCCAAAGACATCTTTATATATATGTGTGTGTGTGTGTGTGTGTGTGTGTGTGTGTAAATATGTATAGGTATGTATGTATAGTATATGTACATGTATACACACAGTGTGTTACTGGTTAAAGTAAATAAATGCTCTAATTAAGAAAATGGAAGTCAAATACGAGAAATAGATACAGTGACAGCCTGAGGTTAAATTTTAGTTCTTTGTGGTGGCTACCTCTTGTTAGCACTTAATTAGAATTAACTCTTGGATTTTGAGGGCAGATACATCAGTAATTAGCCTTCTTCCACAAAAGACAGCAGTACCTTCAAAAGCTTTAATAAACCTAATGACATAATTTAGTGGACAGGAAAGAAAATGTATGTGGCCCACATATTTGCAAAAATTACTTTCTTCTAGAATTTAAAATTTCCTTAAACATTTCACGTAAAATAGGTCATACTTTCCTGCTGACTGCATTTGAGAAATAGTAAAAACAGCATAAAAATTCTTCTAAACTTTCAAAATATCTGACTAAAAACAAAGATCCTGCCTTTAGGCAAGATGAGTTTACAATTCTGACTTACAGGACAAAAAACACTTCCTAAAACTTAGTTTATTTGTGTAATTTCACATAACGTAAGTTATAACAATGCATAATATGGATGTCAAAGTTGAATTTTAAAAATACTGTAAAAACTTTTCATAACTACCTTTCACAGATTTAAACTGTAACATTTAGCTGAACATGAAACTTTTTTAAAGAAGCCAGAGGCTTTTGTCCAACTCAAAGACTAGCACAGATTTTCAATGAATAAAGTAAAAGTGACAAAATTTATGAAATACTGTACTTTAAGGTCAAAACCATGAGGATACATCAATACTGTAGTTCAGTGAGGTACCCAATGGTCTAAACAGCAAGCCTGCTCCCAAAGTTTACTCCGCTTCTCCCTGCCCCCCACCCCTCATGGATTGTGCTATTACTTCTTTTAGCATTTATGCCGGAGGGCCTTCTAGTTTCTTTTAAAATATACTTATAATACTTCAAATCACAACTTATTCTTAGCACAGATTCTCAAATTAAGAGAGAGTTCAGTGCATATTTTATGGCTATATTGCATAGCCTTTATTTCAGAGCTTCTGGGGGAAATTCTGATAATGAAATTTCAAGATGATAGGACTATTTATAAAGAACTTTCCTCTCTGGAAATGATTTTACACTTTAGAGGTCATTCTCACCTCCCTGGCAATAAGTAAAGACATTATGAAATACAGTAAAACTTTGGAGTGGTCAAGCGCTCATAAAGGACATTACTGCAGCATGCACAATACTAGGTATGCGATGTGACAAGGCCGTCACCAAGTGCTAAAGGAACCCCAGGATGTAGAGATTGTTGGGTCAAACTCATTAATACCAAGTAAGCAATGAAAATCACCAGGCAAAACAGTGCTCATGAAAGATACGAATTCAGAGAACAAGGCCCACTTGTGGCACCTTCCTGATGAACTTTCCCCCCAATCCAAGGGTATTTCTGCCCTTATCTTCTAGTCAATGATGATTGTGCTTAGGCTCGAGCGGTCTTCATGGGAAAGACCAGGATGACCGAAACATAATGACAACCGACCGGTTTACCCCAACAAAGCTCACTTCACAATTTTCAGAAATGTATCACAGAACAGTCACAAAATCAAGCCATGAATGCAAGGGATGGGAAAAAAACACGCCTGTGAGCTGGTCCCTACCATTTGCAAGATGCCTCATCCTCCGAACGGCATCCTTTGTCATAATGAGTGAAAACAGCAAGAGTATTCAACCTGAAAAGCCAGACATGTCGCAGCAGCATTGAATAACTGCCTCTTTTTTCCCCCTTTGTCAGTGTAGGAAAAGGTCCCTTTCTGTAGCCACACTGTATAATAGCAGGTTCCTTTTAAAATGAAAAGTGAACAAGTTTCCCAATGTTGGCCTTATAAAGTCTAAAGAGATGATTAAATTCAAACCAGGCTGAGCTCTTTAATCAGAGTTATTTCAGCCACTGATTTTTGTAAAATGAAGGGGAAAAAAACCCCAATAGGCAATTTGCATTTGCAAGGACTGGCTTGCAGAAACCATCACTGTTTTCTTAAACATGTATCTGAATCTTAATGGAATTATAAATACCTTCATGAGGTTAATAATGCAGACATCCCTAGTCATATTTCGTTCTTTCCATTGTTTTTGACCATTTCAAATATTTCAGTATTGCCCACTGAACTCACTGAAAATGATCCTTTGTGTTTATTCTGCTGATTTCTCTAGTGAGCCAGAAGACTTTGACCAGGAGCTCCAAGTACCATTTGAAAAGTTAAGTCTTGAAAAAACCTTCAGTATTTTAAACACTTGATTAGAAAAAAGATAACAGCTACGTGTAGTTACCTAGCTTATGTGCTTTATGGTGTCTTTTCAAAATGAGAGTATAAATCATTGTACACAAAATCAAAATAGTTAATATACATTTTTTTTCTGGCACTTTCTAGAAATTAGGCGTTAAACATAAAACATCTTATAAATTTATATAACAAAAATAAATGTTTACATTTTAATTTTAGATAGATTACCTTAGGGTAGCAGTTAACTTATGAAATCTCACACTGTTAGTGTGGCAGCAGAGAGCATCAGAAATACACATTCAAGTCCGCAGCCCTTCAGAGACGGATGCCATGGCTGCCGTCCAAATATGTGGTGTGTCCCAACATGGAGATTAAGGCTCTCTGTTTCAGAGAAATGAGCTCTGGGCTAAAACAAGTATAGAAGTACCACAATGTTCATTGAAAATACTGAAAAGGCTCTGAAGAGTTTCAAATACTGGGGGGGGGGGGGGGGCACGCTTTGACTAGAAAAATAAAATAAAGCATCTAAAAATGACTTCAAGTACTTTGGGAGAGGCTGCCGATGTGGAGTGCCTAAATCAGAAGGAATGAAGACCTAAACCTAAGAGGCAGCCCCGGTCCTGTCCACCTGCAGTGGTCGTTTTTCCAGGTGCGGCTCTTGGAAGAGGCCCTGTGAGCTGACAGGAACCAGCAACCACAGTTTCTTACCATCTTAAAATCCCTAAGTGGAAGGCAAGGGCCAAGCCTCGGGGGAGAATTTTCTCGGAATG